CAAATATTATTCAGCCATAAAAGGACTTAAGTACTAAAAATACTACCATATGGATGAACTCTGAAAATACATTCTTTTTGTTTGTTTGTTTTTTTGAGACGTGAGTTTCTTTGTGTAGTATTGGCTGTTCAGGAACTCACTCTGTAGACCAGGCTCACAGATCCGCCCGCCTCTGACTCCCAAATGCTAGGATTAAAGGCATTGTACGCCCAGCTGAAAATACATTCTAAGCTAAGAAAGTCAGTTGTGAAGGGCGAAGACCAGAAGTTTGAGGTCATATTTAGCTACACAGAGAGTGCAAGGCCAACCTGGTCTACATGAGACCTTGTTGGAAGGAAGGATGCTGAAGAGGAAGAAGCAGGAAAAAGAATAGGTCCAGAATAGGTAAGTCCATAAAGTAGACAATAAACCAGGCGTTGGTGGCGCACACCTTTAATCCCAGCATTCGAGAAACAGAGGCAGTCAGATCTCTGTGAGTCCCGGGCCAGTCTGGTCTACAAAGCAAGTTCCAGGACAGGCTCTAAAGCTACACAGAAAACCTGTCTCAAAGAGAAAAAAGAAAAAAAAAAAACCAACAAACAAATAAATAGAAGATAATAGTTTAGGTTGTTATTAGGTTACTTAAAGAGAAAATTGATAAATATGGAGTATTTCTGGAGAATAATAAAAGCATTCTGGAATTAACACATCATAATGGCTAAACAATTTTAAATTAATTTTTTAATTATTATTTTTTAGTGTGTTTGGGTATTTTGCATGCTCAAGTGTGTGTGTGTGTGTGTGTGTGTGTGTGTGTGTGTGTGTGTGTGTGTATGAGATAACTTTGGAGGCCAGAAGAGGGTGTAGAACTGTAGTTACAAATGTCTGTAATTTGCCATGTAGGTGCTGGGAATTGAACCCAGGTCCTCTGGAAGAACAGTCAGTAACTTTAAGCTCTGAGTCATGTCTCTAGTCCTTATAGCTAAACAATTTATAAGTACACTAAAAACCACTGAATGAATTTCATTATGTGAACTTTATTTCAAGTTAAAAAAAAAAAAAAACAAGGAAGAAGAAGAGGGCCTGGAGAGATAGATCCGGTTGAGAGCACTGGTTACTCTTCCAGAGGACGGGAGTTCAATTCCAAGCAACCACATGGCAGCTTACACCTGTCTGCAACTCCAGTTCCCGGGGATATGACACCTTCACACCAATGCACATAAAATAAAGTTCAGTAAAATTTTTAAAAAATCATGAACTTGGGGTATAGCACAGTGGCAAAGCATTTACATGAGGACTTGGACTCCATCCCCTCAAAAAAAAGTAATAAGGAGCTCTAAATTCGATGCCAGCCTGGTCTACAGATCAGTTCCAGGACTGCCAGAGTTACAGAGAGAAAACCCGACTCAAAAAAAAAAAAGCAAATATACCCAGTGCAGTGCAACATCTCTTCTCTGCTCTTCTTTTTTTTTTTGGTTTTTCGAGACAGGGTTTCTCTGTGGCTTTGGAAGCTGTCCTGGAACTCACTTTGTAGACCAGGCTGGCCTCGAACTCACAGAAATCCGCCTGCCTCTGCCTCCCGAGTGCTGGGATTAAAGGCATGCGCCACCAACGCCCGGCTTCTCTGCTCTTCTTATCCTTTCCAAAACAACATTTTTACACAAAAACTATATACTTGATGGAGTTAATCTGAAAATGACTGGAACTCTAAAAATATCCTACCTAGACACCAAACAAAGGCACCTGTTTATTTTGATAATATTTTTATAACAGAACTTTCTTAAAATTTGACTTGATAGGACCCTTATTCTACAAATCCAAACAAGCACAATGAGTTAGAAGTACCTGTGGTAACTCACAACTAGAACAAAACACATTCCAGTTGACAAAGGTGACTATGACTTGGTGTAATCAGAATGCAGTATCATCAGAGAGCCAAACTGTGGACTGAGTCGGAGGAAGAATAGAGGAGACCAAGAAAAGACATACCCTAATAAAGGGAGCCACTATAGGTTTAAAGAGAAATCTGACACTAGGAAAGTCCAGAGATCCACAAGGATGACCCTAACTAAGAATCTAAGCAATAAGGGAAAGGCTACCTTAAATGCCCTTCCCTTATAATGAGATTGATGACTACCTAATATGACATCCTAGAGCCCTCATCTAGTAGCTGATGGAAGCAGAAGCAGGGACCCACAGCTAAGCACTGAGCCGAATTCCTGGAATCCAGTTGTGAGAGGGAGGAGGGACAAGCAAAGGGGACAAGACTATGCTGGAAAGACCCACAGAAACAGCTGACCTGACCAAGTGAGAGCACACGGACCCCAGTGGTAAAACTGGAGAACCAGAATTGGACCGAATGAAGCCTTCTGAATGCCGGTGGCAGTTAGGAGGCCTAGGCAGTCTATGGGACCTCTGACAGTGGAACCAGTATTTATCCCTAGTGCTGGACTTTGGGAGCCGATTCCCCATGGAGGGCTACTCTTTCAGCCTAGATACAGTGGGGGGGGGGAGTCTAGGCCCACCCCAAATGATATGACAGACTTTGATAATTCCCCATGGAAGGCCTCACCCTCCCTGGGGAGTGGATGGGGGGGTGATGGAAGGATGGGTGGAAGAGGGAACTGGGGTTGATATGTAAAATAAGATTGTTTCTATATAAAAAGAAAAGAAAAGAAATCCAAACTGTGATGGATGTGCTCTTACTGTTTTCTGTGTCAAGCATGAGACAATGCCTTTCAAAAACAAAACAAAACGAAAACCATACTAAACCACACTAATTACAGGAGTATGTTCTGTATTTAAATTATTGGATTCAAAACATAATTGCTCAAGAGATAGAGCAGTTTTCCAGCATGCCTAAAGTCCTAGGTTCCATGCCCAACACAAAGAAAAAATATATATAAAATGAAAGAACATGGCTTTAGTTTTTTTTTCAGCGCTGTGGATCTATTAGGCAAATGTTCTATCACTGAGACATACCCATACACCTAGGTTTAGAAACTGAACATTTTAACTATCTAGGGTGGGGATCACACTAAAACACACACAATAAACATACTAGAAATTAATAAGTACTACGCCCAGGAGCTTACTTCATTCTTCTAGTACCAACCCTAATGCTTCTTAGTAGCTGGGGCAGTTAAACAACAGCCATGCTCACGTAAAAGATATTTGAACTGGCTGTAACATTAGTCACTTATCAAGGGGTATTTTAACCAAGAGTAGTGAACATGCCTGCTTCCCAGTACTCCAGAGTCTGAGGCAGGAGGATTCCCAGTATGATATCTGTCACTCTAGGCTACATAATGAGTCCCAGGACAGTCTTGGCTACTTAGTAAGAGATGTATTTTTAAAAAAAAGCTGGGCAATGGTGGCACATGTCTCTAATCCTAACACTATGGAAGCAGGGGCAGGTGGATCTCTGAGTTCAAGGCTAGTCTAGTGTACAGAGAGAATTCCAAGACAGTTGGGGCTACACAGAGAAACCCTGTCTCAAAAAAAAAAACCCAAAACTTAATTAAGTTAGAGGGGGCAGAGTGGGAGGTGGGTATGATAAAAATGAACTGCATACATGAGAGTCTCAGACTAAACAATATTATACAAAAAGAGGCATGTTAAACTTATTTTTTAAAGTCCTAGATTTGGAACATTTATTTCAAAATACTAGAAGGAATAATGCAGATGCTTTCAAAAGGAAATCCAGATGTGTACAATGGAAGACCTTCAAAGTATTCACCAAATCAGGTTTAATCATAAGTCACATCCAAATTTTGATTCCAGTTTTGTTTTGTTTTTTTGCTAAAATAATGATGCTTAGTATACACCAGCTCGACAAAGATTCAAAATACATAAAATCCAAGGCTTATGGAGAAATCTTAGTGATGATGACATTCAAAGGCACTGGTTTTTGTTTTGTTTTGTTTTTTGATTGTTCGAGACAGGGTTTCTCTGTAGCTTTGGAGATTGTGCTGGAACTCACTCTGTAGACCAGGCTGGCCTCGAACTCACAGAGATCCGCCTGCCTCTGCCTCCCAGAGTGCTGGGATTATGCCACCAATGCCCGGCACTGTTATCACAGCACTATGTCACCATTTTCAGGTTCTACACAGCAGCATGGGAGTTACCAGTGGGATGATATGCATTCGTAACAAATTAGGCCTAGAGAAATTCTAATGGAATTCCGTTTGCTCAAAAAGCATTAACTAAGCAGTTAATAGTAACCTGGGGATTATCTGTCTTATCTAGCATTAGCAGGAGACAGTGTCTTTTTCTTTATGCGTTTTAGAGTGGAGAGGAGCCATGTGGCTTTCCTCTATCTTTGCTGGCCCTTTCCTTGGAGAGATAAGCGGCACCACTTGAAAGTATATTTAACTTCTCCTTTTAGCGATCCTTTCTTTAAATCTGTTTTTCCACTTCCCTTCACCTTTGTATACCCCTCCCTGAAACATCTTGTTTTCCTCCTGCCCTTTCAACATCCTTGACGTAAACTTCAAGCACGCCTAGAGATTGGTCTAAATAATTTTTCAAGATATTTGCGATCATGTGAGATCTTCAAGTATTAACCCCATTCATTTAGCATTAATGCTACCGCTGCTCAACCTCTCCATTTCTCCTTATTTCCTCCCTCTCCGTGTCTACTTCGTCTCCAGTTTTACAGGTCATTGCCCTGAGGCTTTCTAAACTTAGTATCTACCGCAAGTTTCCCCTCACTAAGCCCTCTTACTCCTGACGCTCTTCGGTCATTACTCTGGGATTCCTCGGATCTTGCTCCGGTGGCTCAACCTCCGACGCCACCCCTACTACCACCAATGGCCCCGCAAAGCGGCTTAGGAGCGTTCCCCGCTCCCTTCCTCGGTCCCCCAAACTTGTCTTCACTTCAAGAACTCTGGCATCCACCTCACCATGACCCGCCTCCTACAGGTCGGCGTCCGCCTTCCCCTCAGAGCTTCGGGGCGCCCCCAGACGCGCGCGCCCACCCTACGGCCCGCGCCCTCCAAGGCCCGCAGCGGCCCTCCGACCTGCCTCTGCGCCTCCCGCAGCCCCTGCAGCCGCTGGCCCAGCTCCCGCCGGTAGCTCTGCGCCGCCTCCACGTTCTCGCGGGCTTCTTGTAGCAGCACCTCCGGCTCCGGCTCCATTGCGCCCCTCATCCGGCTGCGCCGCCCGCTAGGCTCCCGACTGCGCCGGGTTTGCGCGAGCCGCCCAGCGCGTCCTTGCACAGCGGAAGCGCCGCCCCGCCCTGCCCTGCCCGCCACGCCACGCCCCCCGCTTGATTGACAGGCGACGGGCAGAAGTACACGCTCTAATGGCGTCCTAGTCCGAACTAGTGGGACCTGGGGCGCTGCCTACGTAGCGCCTTCTCCGGCCTCTGTGCTGCGCCGGCCCGGACGTTTCCTCAGGAAACGAGTGCAGGCGTTAGTAGAAGCACGTGAACACGTCGCTAAGTGCTTCCCCACTTCTAATCTCACGTCGCTACGTTATCTGTCCTGTACAGAGGAGGAAGTGCAGGGACACGGGGGAGTCTACTCTCCCTCTCAAGCTCAGTGCACGATCCGCAGAGCTGAAACTACAGCGCTGGCCCTTAAATTATCGCTGTACTAACTCCCTAGTAAATGCCAGCCGAGTCAGGCATTTTAGGAGGATACTGAGATCCAGGCGCCACCACCTAGCTACTTTAAGTAGGGAGGTAAGAGGCCCAAGTGATGACCAGCAGGGATCCTGGAAGAAGTCCAAGCAGGGTGTTGGCACGCTTTTTCCTGTGAGGTCCACTAGTAAATATCCACTTGGCATGTGCCAAATTGTGTGCTTCGATGTGTTAAATAAATGGGTGTGACCACATGCAGTAAAAAGGTTGATTGACCCTGTAGTCCCAGCTACTGGAGAGGCTGGAGAGTGTGCAATGGGGAGCTAGAGACTAGACTGGACAACAAGGATGTAAAAATAAACCTTTGAATACAGAAATTTAGATTTGAAGTAAATTTCACATGGTCTTTGTATTTTATTTTCTAACTATTCAAAAAGGCAAAAGCGTTTTATTTTAGAACCCATACAGAGTGAGTTCCACAATAGCCAGAGCTACACAGAGAAAACCTGTCTCAAAAATAAATAAATAAAATAAGAAAGAGAAGAAAATAGAAGGGAAGCCCTCTTGAAAGAATAACAAGTAGGGAGAGTGGCCAGGGGAACTCAGTTTTATCCTAAAGATAAGGTAGCCTGCTTCTTAGTAGATAGTCAGCATCTGCTTAATGAATTAAAGCATACTAAGTAAGCAGAAAGCAGTACGACAAAGTAGGAACTAACAGTGCTGCCCCAGATAGGACAAAGTGAAGAAGAACAAACTTGGAGACAGAAACGAAGGAGACTCTGGAACAACAAATAGATGAGTATTTCTGGGAAGATAGGACTGCATGCTATATGACAAGGTGAAGACTAAAGAAAAGGAACTAGAGAGACACCTCCATGGTCAAGAGTGCTAGCTGCTTTTCCAGAGGACTGGGATTTGACCCAGCACCCACATGGCAGCTCACAACCATCTGTAAGTCCAGTTACAGGGGGTCTGATGCCTTCTTTTTGCCTCCACAGGTATACATATATATGCAGTCAAAACACTCATACACATAAAATAAAAATAAATAGCAAAAACTTTTTTGTTGTTGTTTTTTGAGAGTTTATGTATCTTTGAAGCCCATCCTGGAACTTGCTCTGTAGGCCAGTTTGGCCTCCACTCATAGAGATGCACCTGCCTCTGCCTCCTGAGTGCTGGGAGTAAAGGTGTGTTACCACCACCACTTGGCCATAAATAGCAAATCTTAAAAAAACAAAAGGGGGGGGGGGCTGGAGTGATGGCTCAGTGGTTAAGAGCACTGGCTGCTCTTCCAGAGGTCCTGAGTTCGATTCCCAGCAACCACATGGTGGCTCACAACCATCCATAATGAGACCTGGCAGAACACTGTATGCATAATAAATAAATCAATCTTTATATTTATATATATATGCACACACACATATATACATATATATATATATATATATAAAATGTTAAAGAGCAAGAACGATGGAGAGATGACACAGTGGTTAAGAGCATTGGCTGGGGCTGGAGTGATGGCTCAGCGGTTAAGAGCACTGGCTGCTCTTTCAGAGGTCCTGAGTTCAATTCCCAGTAACCACATGGTGGCTCACAACCATCTATAATGAGACCTGGTGCCCTCTTCTGGCTTGCAGGGATACATGCAGGCAGAATGCTGTACACATAATAAATAAATATTAAAAAAAAAAAGAGCATTGGCTGATCTTCCAGAGGACCCAGGTTCAATTTCTAGTACTGACATGGTAGCTCATGACTGTCTAAAACTCCAGTTCTGGGGATCTGATAGCCTTTTCTGGTTTTGTGGGCACCAGGTACACACATAATGCACAGAAATACATGCAGGCAAAATACTCACACACATAAAAAATAACTTTTTAAAAAAGACCAAGGGCCCACCAGACAGTGGTGACTCACACCTTTATTCCCAGCACTTGGGAGGCAGAGGCAGGCAGATCTCTGAGTTATAGGCCAGCCTTGTCTACAGATTGAGTCCTGTAATAGCCATGGCTACACAGAGAAACCCTGTCTCAAAAAGCCCAAGTGAGAAAGAAAAAAAAAAAAAAAAACAAACAACAAACACAGGCCTAAGAATTCAGGACAAGGAGTATTGACTTAGCCAGGCATGTTAACATACCTGTAATTCCAGCATTCAGAATGCCAAAGTAGAAGGATCAGTTGAGGCCAGTTTGGGCTGCATAGAGTTCAAGGGCAGTCTGAACTACCCAGTAAGATCCTGTTTCAAACAGCCAAGAGTTATGCTACTGATGTAGCTAAGTGATAGAGGCTTGCTTAATATCTTAATTAATGTTCTATTGCTGTGAAAAGACATCATGACTAAGGCAACTCTTACTGCAATTGATTGAGGGCTTGCTTACTGTTTCAGAGGGTCATTTCATGATCATCTCGGCAGGGAAATGTGGTACCAGGTAGGCAAATATAGCACTGTGATGCGGAATAGTATTCTGTGTACATGTTTGTCTTATCGGTTGATGAATAAAACCTTGTTGGCAAACAGGAAAGCAAGACAGGTAGGACTAGGAAGGTGGAGAATTCTGGGAAACGAGGCACAGTCAGTCACCATGTAGGACTCGAGAGGAGTAAGAGGTCTGGAACCTTTCTCAGGTAAGAGAAGACCATGTGGAAATACTCAGATTAGCATGTGGAAATACTCAGATTAGCAGCTATGGGTTAGTAATTAAGTCAGAGCTAGCCAATAAGAAATGATAGCAAATGGCCAACAGCTTCATAATTATTATAGTGTCCTGCATGTTCATTTGGGACTGATGCAGCTCTAGGACCAGACTGGCGGGAAGAATGTTCATTATACAGTAGAGCAGGAAAAGAGATCTCACATTTGGTCCATAAATTGCAAGCAGAGAGTGAGACTGGGCCTGGAGTGGGCTTTTGAAATCTCAAAGCCCACTGCCAGTGACACACCTCCTCCAGCACCTCCTGATCCTTCCCAAACAGTTCCACTAATTAGAGGCCAAACACTGACATATATGAGGGCTATGGGGCCATTCTCATTCAAACCATCATACTTAGTGTGTCCAAGGCTCTAGGTTCAATATTTAGCATCAGCAAAAACAAACACAGGTAAGGGTAGTAAGTGAGGCATGTACTCTGTCATTTATAAACCAATATTTCAGGAAAATAAATGATAAGTAGGACATAGGTTCATCTTATCTAGCTTAAGATAATAAAGATATTACACTAAATACTCAAAAATGTTTATTCAGTGAAATAAATATATGATAGATGATGAAGAGTGAGATAAATAAGAAAAAACATGAAATTAATATAATTTTGATAATTATGAGAGAGGCTTGAGTAAGGATGGTGGCCATTAGAGAGATTTGACAATAAAAAGAAGGAGAAAGCTAGTCAAATGGATCAAGAGAATAGTAGGACTTGGGGGGGACAGTAAAAACTGGGAATATTTAAATGTTTGTGTTTGAGGTTTCTTTTTTTTCTTTTGTTATTTTATTTATATTTATTCATTTTATTCTGTGTATGCCATGTGTGGGAATCAGAGGAAAACTTGCAGAAGTCAGTTTTTCATTTTCTACCATGAGGGTTCAGGGAATAAAAAACAGGTTATCAGTCTTGGTAGCAAGCACCTTTATCCACTCGTGGGCCCTACTTTTGTTTCTTTTTGAGAGAAGGACTCTCTGTCTGTCTCTGTCTCCCTATAACCTTGGCTGTCCTGGAACTCGCTATGTAGACCAGGCTGTCTACAGACTCACAGAGATTGGCCTCTCTCTGCAGGACATGTGCCACCATACCTGGCAGCCCTCACTATTTGTTTATTTGTTATGGTTTTTGAAACAGGGTCTCTCTGTGTAGCCCTGGCTGTCCTGAAATTAGCTCTATAGACCAGAGATTGGTCTGCTTCTGCCTCTGCCTCTGCTGGGATTAAAGGTGTGCATGGGCCACCACTGCCCCAAGGCTAAATTCCCAAAGAGTGAATCCTCTTGTCCCTAGAAGTAAGAGAGGAAGAGAGTCCAGAGGCAGTAAGGACAGATGTCAGCTGGCCATGGAGCAGGGCTTAGATTACAAGGATCCAGAGGCATTGATGGAGGTAGCCTTCCCGAGGAAGTGGGACAAGCAGGGCAATCTATTGACACCAAAATGATAAAAGAAAGGGATTTTAATGGAAAGGGGGGTTATGAGAGGGAGGAAGAGCAATGTAAGTTTAAATACCTTTAAATGCTGGCACAGTTCAGTGACAACAGCACAAGTCTAGGATGTGCAAGGCCCAGCACTGCACAAAAACAACCAAAAAGAGGAACTCCAGTGGTGGCTCAGCAGTTAAAAGTGCATACTGCTCTTGCAGAGGAACTGAGTTTGGTTCCTAGTGCCCATGTATGGTCACTCCCGAACCCCTCACTTCTCCAGGGGAATCTGATGCCTCTGGCCTTCTCAGGCTCTTTCACTCATGTTCCAATACCACACACAGACACACACTCTACACATAAGTAAGAATAGTAACAATAAACCTAAAAAAAAAAAGTTGGTTATGGTGGTACACACCTTTAATTACAGCACTCAGGAGTCAAAGAGTTCAAGGCCAGTCTGGTGTATATATGGAGTTCCAAGGCAGCTAGGACTACATAGACCATGTCTCAAAAACAACAACAA